AAGCAAGATTCTCAAATCCAACATGGAGAACGCCAAGTCAAGCGCACTTGGTGGTGAATTACTGGAAGATGTGGAATCTTTCACGTGCCTGGGAAGCATCGTTGATAAACAAGGAGGATCTGATGCAGACGTAAAGGCGAGGACTGAAAATTCAAAGATCACATTTTTATAATTGAGGAACACTTGGGACTCAGAACAACTATTGAGAATCTTCAACATGAACGTTGAGATAGTCTTACTGTACGGAGCTGAAACGTGGAGAACCACTACAACCATTGTCAAGAAGGTACATGTATTTATAAACGGTTGTCTTCGCAAAATACTCAACATTTACTGGCCGCATACTGTCAGCAACAGCTTTTATGGGAGAGGACAAAGCAGCTTCGAGCTGAAGAGGAAATTAGGAAAAGACGTTGGGAGTGGATAGGACATACATTGAGGAAATCGCTAAACTGCATCATGAGGTAAGCCCTAACTTGGAATCCTGAAGGGAAGCGGAAAAGAGGAAGACCAAAGATTACACTGCGCCGTGAGATTGAAGCAGATATGAAAAGTATCAGTTTCAGTTTGGAAAGGAAAGAACAGGAGGCTTGATGGCCTGTGTTAGTCCTGGCAATAATGGTCTCTCAGCTGATCCAACTTTCTTTTGAAGGAGTCGACGGGTGGAGCCTTAACCACGTGCTGAGGTAATGGATTCCACTCGTTGATTATTCGATGGGAAAGTCGGTAGTCAGCTGACAAGTAATTCGTTCTGGGCTTGTGAACTTTTTTGGAGTGTCCTCGTAGATTTTCTGTTTTGGAAGACAAGAAAAATGAGGGCATATCAGGTTCAAATTTGTCATTGAGCAATTTGAAAACTGTAATCAAGTCGCCTCTGATTCTTCTATATGACAGCGGGAATATGTTTAGCTTGGTCAGTCTAGTACCATACGGGAGCTTCGCTATTCCGGGAATCAGCCTAGTTGCTGTTCTCTGAACCCTTTACAATAGTTCACTGTCTTTTTTAGGCAGGGGCTAGCTGCTTGTATGCAGTACTCAAGTTTAGGGCATACGAACACTGTATACAAAGTCAGAAACGTTTTAGCGTCAAGATGCCTAAAAGCCCTGCGTATGGACCATAAAGTCCTAAAACCTTTGGCGGCTATTGCACGGCAGTATGCAGTAGTCTTTAAGTCTTGACTAACGATGACGCCTAAGTCATTGTGTGCCTGAACAATAGGTAACTCAGTGTTTTCATCGTGTATGTATCTGTACCCTGGTGGCCAATATGCATCACAATACACTTGGAAGTGTTTATCGGCAATTGCCAGGTTTGGGACCATTCAGATAATCTTTCCAGGTCATTTTGAAGTTCTAAGCTATCGCCCTTGCTTTGTATCGCTCTCCATATTGGTGTTGATAGTAGATGAGGGAGGTCATTTACGTACAGGAGGAATAACACTGGCCCCAAAACTGTACCTTGGGGGACTCCACTAAGCACTGTTTCCCAGCTAGACAACTTGGAGTTCACACTTACTCTTTGTTGACGCCCAACTAGGAAGTATTTTATCCACATCAGTAGATTGCCTCCAATCCCGACATTCCTTAGCTTATATAACAGCCGGTTATGCGGAACTTTGTCGAAAGCTTTGCTGAAATCGATGTAAACTACGTCTATAGGTAACTTTTGATCCTTAAGAGCGCACCAGCTTTCACGAGCGACTAATAAGTTTGTGAGACAAGAGTAACCTGTTCTAAAACCATGCTGTTTTTCGGAGAGAATCCGGTTTTCATCGAGATACTTTAACAGCTCCTTCCGAATAATCTTTTCTAAAATTTTAACAACCACACTATTTAGGCTAATTGGACGGTAATTCTCAGGCTTATGTTTTGTACCTGTTTTGAAGACTGCACTTACTATGGCGTTCTTCCAGTCTTTTGGTAGATAACCCTGGGTTACGGATAGATTAAAACATACACTTAAAGGGTTCGCAACAAAGTTAGCTAATTCCTGTAGTAACCTAGGATGAAGTTCATCGGGTCCAGTGGATTTACCTATGTCAAGCTTAACTAGCAGACCAAAGACATCGAGTTCTTTAATGGTCACGCTGTCCAGTGCTTGTGTGGGGGATTTTCATGAACTGGTGAGAAGGGTGTTTCTATGGTGTATACATCACTAAAGTATTTAGAGAATACTTGAGCTTTGCCAAAGTCGTCCTCCACTAGTGATGAGGCAGTACTGGCTCCCCATAGTGAAGGAACATTTCTTCTTCTTTTTGTCCTTTGGTTTATATACGAATACAAGCGTTTAGGGCATTCTATGGATTCCCTAACGATTTTCTCTTCGTACAGTTTTCTGGCCTTACGGAGGGTCGAGGCACAGTTATTTCGAGCCTTTTGATACTGAGATTTTGCCTCGTCAGTCCCCAGTAACCTAAATCTGTCCCACATTTTCCTTCTTTTACGGAGAAGGATGCGAACCTCCATACTGAACCACGGTGGTGAGTTTCTCGGCCCCTTAGGTGTAGTCCAAGAGATGTGGGGGGCGGTAACTTTTAAGTATAAATTCCGGAATACGTCCCAAGCCGTTTCGATTGATGACTCTGGGTCTATTTTCCAATCTACTGATGATGCTGATTTCATGATGTCTGGTATGTTTGCTTTCCAGACGTTAGGTCTGGATTGGGCTGAGGCGTGCTCGTGATCGACAGTTATATGGAAGTCAAAGCTTAAAACTGCATGATCACTTTTGCCTAGGGGTGGCATGTAATCCAGGTTTGAAACGTCATCCTCATAATGAGTCAATATAAGATCTAGTAAGGATGATGCAGAACCCGGGTCGTACCTAGTTGCTTCCTTCACGTGTTGCACTAGGGCACATGTGATTACCGCATCAACTAGTTCCTGTTCGAAGGAATTTGCTGACGATTCAGTCCGCAGATTTCCCCAGTCCACCATGGGTGCATTGAAATCCCCTAGGATTAGACATCGATAACTTCGTGATAAAGTGTTGAGACTGCTTAGCAGGACCTCGTTTACCTCACAGCTTAGACTGCGATAGATCAAACTAAGCAGCAACTCTTGTCCCCTGCATTTCAGGCGGCAGCTAACTAATTCATGCGTCCCACTCTCGTGGGATACACTGTCGATAATAGTGAATGGAATAGCATTCCTAATGAATAGAGCTACTCCCCCTCCTTTACGCGTTTGTATTCTATCGGCCCTTACTAAAGTAAAACCCTCGAAATCAAGTTCTCTACTATCTATAGACGGCGTCAGCCATGTTTCTGTGACTGCGATTATGTCTTGACATGTTGAGTCAATCTGTACACCTAGTTCCGGTAGCTTATTAAGTAAGCTCCGGGCATTGATATAACAGATCTGAAGCCTATTTAGGTGGCCTCGTGTTTCACCCAGAGTGGCTTCGGCATCATCCTCTGTCGAAGCCTCACAACCAGAAAATTTACAATTTTCAGGTCTTTTTCGCCAGCGTCTGAGCTGTAGTTCTTTTTCGGCTTCCCGTCTTTTTACACGGTCCGCCAACGGTAAGTCTTTACGGAGAAAAACTCCTGAACCCTTCAATTTGTGTCCATTTTCTAAAATTAAGTCGCGTTCGTTCGGGGATTTGAAAACGACTTTGAGTAGTCTAGACTGATTTGGTTTCAGATGCGCTAGGTTTCCTAGCCTATACACCTTTAGCAAGGTGACTCCGGAGATGTTTTGGGGCATAACTTGGTTGAGTAGTTGTTTTATCAATACAATGTCATGCTCAAAACGAGCTTTCGGTTCTAAGCTGTCACTCTCCTTGACTCTATGGAGAATGACTGATCTGTCGCTGTGATCAGACCTCGGCTTGTCGACCCTTTTTGGTTGGGGTAGGATTCCCTTTTAAGTCATTTTGCCGTTTCCTCCTTACGACACGTACCCAATCGCTAACGTTCTTTGGAGTAGTAACCACAGTCGCGTCAGGCGTACTGTGGGATTCCGGAAGGTTCAGGACAACTTGGGAAGTTGGGTCATCTTTCGTGCTGGAAACCGATCGAGCCTTGCGATTTTGGGTTCCGGATGTTCCCTTCTGGGTACCATTTTTGGTACGAGGGACAGAAGAGACTTTTTTGCGCGAGTTTCTGGTTGTGACAGACCTCTTTGGAGGATGTCCTTCTTTCTTTGGACAGTGAGGGTCAGCATTTTTGGGACTCACTTGGGCCTGCCTTATGTCAATCTGCGTGTCGACAGATTGAGTTCTGACTGATGTGCCCCGACCGCGCTTGCGGAGACACTTTTTCGCGGCATTTACTATTGAGGTGGCCTCGTTTAACAGGCTATTTGCATTCAAACAGCACTGTTGACATAGCCAGATGCATCCATTTTTACTGAACCGCTTGAATGCTGCAGGCGTTAGATTCGTGCAAACTTCGTGGTACCAACCTTTGCACTCATTGCACTGTATGCCGCTTTCAACGGGATATCGACATCCTGGGCGGTGGCAAATGCTTTTGTTGCATCTTACAGTCATTTTAGGACGAGAAAGTGAGTTTTGACTAAAAGTAGAAAAAGCTATAAATAGTTAGGACCAAAGTACTAACAGATACAATAGAAAAACAAGGTACTCTGGAGTACGGACGATAAAACTATTTAGGATACCAAAGATGATACTCTAGTCGAATACTTTAACTGAAAGAAATTCAATCAAAGTATAAAACAGTAGTCTTGATACGTTAATAACGATCAAAACAATAAAATTTACTCAACGAGGAAAAATACCACTGTCCTTTTTAAATAGCGCGCAAAAGTGAAAAGGATAAATAAGGACTGGAAAGGATTGCCCAGGACAGGGTTGAATGGGGAATACTGGTGGGTGGCCTATACTCCTCAACGAGGGGAAAAGGCGTAAGTAAGTAAGACTGATCTAAAGTGGCTAGCGATCGCAGGAGGAGTTGAACACGGCGTTCCAACTCGTGATCTGGTACGGATGCATGACCGGGCTCCATCAACTAAGTGGGTCCAATAAAACTAATGTGGTCAGCATCCAATGTCGAACACTCACAGAGCTATTGATTTTGGGGATTTATTTACCGTTACACTCTCAAGACTGGAAATTAAAGTTCCAGTCAAATGGTTCGAATGGTTGAGTTTTAAAATAATTCAGACAGTCAGCGGAGCGTTCGTTCATCTGCTTAACTGAAAATTCATGGCATATTATATTTCAGACTCAAAGAACAATCCTTAGCTATGTTTCTGTTTAACAGTCATTGAAACTATCATCTAAAGTAAAGAGGTCCCTTCGAAACAGCGCGTTACGGTCCTCACCGGTCTCCGTTTAGTGTATTTGGTTAGTTTCGCCAATTTTCTTGCGCATTATACCAAATTTCTTGTAAGTATTTTTCTTTAAATAAAGCCGAAAACGCAATTCATAACGATTTTCGAAGTGTGGCCCGCGTAGTTAGTAGCTTTTTAGTTACTGGGTTTCTGCCAGAATGATAATCTGACTCAATTGACTTAGTGCTGTATCGTGTTTCAACCCACTCCACCACAACTTCCTGGGTAAAACCTTTCTAGGATTTTATAGCGCATTTAGCCAACTTCTAGTACTGGTACGAATTCACCTCTTTCGCCTTCCCAACCTTCCTATTTTGGGAAACATTTTGTCCGTTTTGGGCAGATTCGGGTAAAGCCGCAATAGAAGACTTTGGGAAAATGACACAAGACCCCAAAAGTTTCCCCAGGTCCGTAGAAAGTCCCCAAAATGTTTGTGGAAATTTAGGGTTTTCCCGAAGATAGGGAAATTGGGTTTTGGTGTGGAAACTGCATATTCAGTCAGCCGATTTCGGGGACACCAAATGATGCCAGGAATTTCTGTCAAAACCTACAGCGAAACCGTGGAGATGCATAAACAAGATTGCAAGTTTAAATCAAGTTATTTCCAACTATGTAGAGGACTCGTAACCTTTTCCAAATCAGTCGGTCCTTATCAGTCTAATCCTCCTAAAAAACAACTTCCCTTGAAGTCTTATATTAGTTTAATTAAGGATCCTTCATCATATTCATTTGTCAACGTTGTCCTGAACTAAACATGTTAAACAGATCAGTTACCTCGGGTTTGTTATTTTGTTATGATAATTTATATTAGTTCTAACAAGCTTAGTTGTGAAGACCTATAATTTTTCGTACTGATCACGAAGTAATGTGTTTTCCGATTATTGGGAAGACCCACCTAATAACCCCGAATCATAACAAATACTTCACTATAAATCTACATAATTGCTAACATATTCCAAAATTATATGATCTAGTGTGGGCTTGTTACCACTTATTCACCAGTAATGTTGGTGTTTCGTATCAATTATACTTTCCTATATCTCAAGTTGTCTTCCCCTAACACTAACACAAATATTATCACCTCCGTAGTTTATATAGCTTTCATTTCCTAATGTGCTAACATTTTCAAGTAACATAAGTATCTTTTCCCCACTTTCCCAACCGTAGCTGGTGCACTGACTTGATGGTTGGACTCGAGCATCGTGATTACCCAACCGAGTTATATTAGGCAGGATACACTCCTTTGGGTCTTACCATGCCAGACAAGTCGGTTGGATAATGGTGAGACCAAAAGCATCAAATTAAGTTCCAAGGGCGAAGTCGCACTGCTGACTGTATATGGATTTGAGAACAGTAAGGTTTTTCTCTCAAACAACCAGCATCTGCAGCGATGCTGCCCTTTCAAAACGGAAGGAGAGGGTTAGAAAAGGTCGACCTTAAAGTGTCGCTCACCCTATCACATGTACTTCCGTCCACGGGGTAGGGCTTTTTAAATGGAGGACTAACATATCATGAACTTCCCATAAAAAAGTCATGGGCGGCCGGCCCCAGGCGGATTTTCATTTTGTTCTACGTCGACGCTTCCAGGTTTCTAAGACCACAACTAATTCAACTACTTCAGGTCCTCAAGAAGAAATATCCCTCCATGATGTGAGCAAGTAGGAATGGACAACCGCCCCCATACCTCTATCAGCACAATCAAATCCTTCTTTCATCTCTTAACAATTTTCCCATCCCCACGACTAACCCTTCATGTATATCTCGATCACCTCGCGTCACTTATATTAATGATTCCGTGTCTCCTGAAACCACGCTCCAAACTACATATTGGAGCTTTCGATGTTTGAACCTTGAGTCAGATAGGACAACAGGGTTCTTTAGCTAGGACTCTAGAATCTCACACTGTCGATGTACGCTGCATATCTGAAACACCCGTACATAGTCTAAGTTACTCCCCGTGACTAACTTGGTGTAGGTATTACATTGATTCTAAAAACAGGACGGGCTCTGTTAGACTGAGTCTCGGTAGACTGTCGCTTGGGCACTGTCCAGCTAAACGGGACGGCAAAAAGTCGGAAAGATAAGGATATACACCGTTGCCTCTTCGTTGTCTGTGCCTACGCTCCCACCGATTGCGGCTCGGATGCAGTTAAGTATACGGTTTATGGGAAGCTATCCAACTTCCTAAAGGCTAAACGCTCTGATATATTATTAGTGGCAAGTGATTTTAATGCCAGGGTAGGTAAACCAAACCAAAGGGCACTTAGGCGGATCTTAAGGTGTTGCGGCTCAATGAACAGATAATCGTGACCGTTTGCTGCAATTATTACCAGATAATCGTCTACTTCTGGCAAACGCCATTTTTAAACATAAGGAAGATATCGTTTGACGCGGCGATCTCCACAATCGACCCATTGATGGGCATAAATAGACTACATTTCCACTAGCCATTGTTGGAGGAGCTCGGTAGAAGATTGTCGCTCACTCTTATTTGTTATTCATGTGAATGCAGACATTAGTACAAGGAGGCACCAAATATATATGCGCCTCACTTCGTCATTCGGTTTGGGCTCCTGGGCAGTATTCCAGCCCACATACACAAGTCAATGATAATTACTGCTGGAAAAATAACTTTGCAACCCTCATTCAGACAAACCATATCCACAATCATTTGATAACATTCGTTTTTATTTCTTTTTTTACTGCACCACTTATTTACTCCTTTTTATTCTTATTTTATGTGTTTTACTTTATTTTTCAAAGTATACGGCAACTCGCCGATGGTGGAAACCCTATCCTATCTAAACGTGTGGCGCATATGTACCTGGTGCCCTTTTGTACCAATATATATGTGTTTAAATAAATAAATCCTATCTAAACGATCTCGAGTCACTGACTGATCGAAAATTGAATTCTACCACCGACTACGAATACAAATGACTTACCTCCGGCTCTTTTTAAAGATGGTGGTGAATTTCTGGCTAAGGAACTGACTGCGTTGTTTGGAAAGGTTTGGGAGCAAGAAAGTGTTCCAACATCTTGGAATGAGTCAATAGTCGTCCCTATCTTTAAAAAGGGTTCACGTTGTTCCTGCAATAACTACCGGGGGATAAGTCTACTTTCGATCGCGTCCAAACTATTGGCTTCTATCATTCTTCGTAGGTTGTTTAAAACCCGAGAACGATTGACTCGCGAGGAGCAGGCTGGTTTTCGTTCTGGTCGAGGATGCATTGATCACATCTTCACCCTCCGCCAAATGTTAGAACACCGTCATACTTATCGCAGGCCAACAGTCGTAGTGTTTCTTGATATCAGGGCTGCCTTCGATTCGTTGGACAGGACTGTTCTCTGGGATTGTCTATTGAAGAAGGGTGTGCCTGAGAAGTTCATTAACATCTTAAAGGCCCTGTATACGAACACCTTAGGCAGAGTAAGGGCATACAACCACGTTTCTCCCTTGTTCCATTCGAGCAGTGGGGTTAGGCAGGGTTGCCCAATCTCACCATTCCTCTTCAACTTTGCCATCGACGACATCCAGGAAACAACTCTGATGAATGTAAATAATGGCGGTGTGGATCTGCTGCCCGGAGAACGACTTCTCGACTTTGAGTATGCGGATGATATTGTCTTATTGTGCGATAATGCCCAAGGCATGCAATCCGGACTTAATCAGTTGGCAATCAGTGTCCGCAGGTACGGCATGTGCTTTGCACCCTCCAAGTGCAAAGTACTCCTACAAGACTGGCAGGGTTCTCATCCTGTACTCTCTCTGGGTGGTGAGCAAATTGAAGTAGTCGAGAAGTTCGTGTATCTAATTGGCTGCATAAGTACTGGTGGTGGCGTGAGTGATGAGATCGATGCACGTACAGTGAAAGCCAGAGCGGCTTATGCCAATCTGGACCATCTTTGGCGCCTTTGTGATGTTAGTCTGGCTGTAAAAGGTCGGATCTACAACGCGTCGGTGAGAGCAGTTTTGCTCTATGCTTGTGAAACCTGACCTCTCCGAGTTGAGGATGTTAGACGACTCTGTGTTCGATCATTGTTGTCTCCGAGGGATTGCTGACATCCAGTGGCAACACCATGTTAGTAATGCAGAGGTTCGGCATCGTGTGTTCGGGCGCCGGGACGATAATTCAATTGGTGTCACCATCTTGAAACACCGACTTCGGTAGCTTGGACATGTTTTACGAATGTCGCCCCAGAGACTTCCACGTCGTGCATTATTTGCCGACTCTGGGACTGGTTGGAAAACGCGGAGAGGAGGTCAGTGTATGACATGGTGTCGTGGTATGAAAGAAAGTTGCAAAGGGCTAGCTTCTGTTGGTCCTTCACGACTCCCTGGCTGGGGTCCGAGAGATGGTACAACACAGTAGCTAGAGATGTTGTCAGATATGGCTCAGAATAGAAGCCAGTGGCGATCCTGCTGTAATCTTCTTTTACTTTCTTCATAAAGAGTGACTATAACTTTCTTAACTGAAAGAGTCCTCTGGTTGTACATTTCAGTTCCCCCATCATTACTCTTCTCTTTATTTTCCTTCTTTTATATATACACATCTTCCTTCTCTTCCCATTCTCATTATTTTGTGTCGCGCATATCTATCCGGTGCCCTTTGTACCAATATATATGTGATTAAATAAAATAAGGAAGTCTCAACGTCTGTTTCAGTTGTTTATCTGAGACCCGTATTCAAGACTAGTGAAGTTCTACGAATTCGCTCTCCATCTATTGCTTCAAAAACTGGCTTCACGCGTGTTTATCCGGGGACATTGTGGCATCTCTGTCTTGTTTCTCTGACGTTGGTGTCGCACTAGGCTCTAGAGCTGAGAAAGCACTGATCTATTAAATCTCCATTAAGAACCAACAAGTTCATCGTCCTAAACAGATCGATGTCAGTAAAGTGGTTGCAGTTTCTGCTGAAACTAAATATCTATTAAATTCCGGGAGCTCTTTCAACTCATCCGACTCACTGGCAGCAAGAAGCCTGATGTGAGTGGAACATTCTGTGACGATGACGGGATGCCATCAATACGAACCACTGACGACTTGGACAATGG